ACCTCGGACTCCAGTCTACTGAGATGCTGTACAAATTTTAGCCTTGACAGCACCCATGATTGCATGAGACAATTCCTCTCTCTCTCTCTCTCTCTCTCTCTCCCCACACACACACCCATACCCCCCACACACACAGAGTGCATACACATCACATGCACACTGTAACTTCATTACTCCACTGTCAAATTAGTTGATGTTCCTATTGTCACTAATGATTAAAATTAATCTTTCCCTCCAAATGACACAGACAGAAGTATAACAAGAACAGTCTTTTATTGACTTGCTTTAAACTAGGCACAATAGCTTTTACAGCATGAAGTCCATCTTTCTCCTCATTTTACTGAACATATATATGGCCAGGCTAAAAATTGAGAGAACCAAAAGCAAGATTTTATGTCCATATAATAACAAGGCAGGTATTTGATGATAAAAACCTGAAACTAAGGACTTTTCTCCTCCAAACCTCTGAAGAACCTCCTTAAAACCCCAAGGGCATAACATTGAGTTACAACAACCCATCCCATAGTTTTCTACCAAAAGTCTGTACTTTGGCATAATAGTAGCTGGCTGTGTGTCTCAGTAGCTGTGGTTGGAGAATTCAGGAAACAATCTTTGTGTTTACCCACTTGGTACAATGAACAGCAAGATGTGTGCGTATGTTCAAATGTGTCAAGTCAGGATTTTTACCCACATAATGCTTCTTCTAACAGGCTTTGTGTATGCTTAACTGAGTACCACAGTGGGTAAAATACACTCCCATCACTCTTCTGTTATGAAAACATGTATTTTATCACAACAGAATGTGGGTGTGACTCATAGTAGCTACACCTGGGGGAAGCAAAAACCCATTTCTGCATTCATCCACTTGGCAGATGAATGGCAAGGTGAGTACTGGACCTCCAAAGCAGCAACAGGTGAGTTTTACTTATGAAATGCTTATTGCTAAAGTTTTGTGTATTTAGGGTCTGTTTTTTAAAAAGTTTTCTTTTGATTTTTCTGATAGAAGAAGCCAAATTTAGTACAATGACACAGGAAAACAGACTTGCAAGTTTTGGAGAAGGTTAAATATGAATTATCAGATTTCTCCCACATGGATAATGAAAAAGATAATGACTTTGCCATTGGCCATATGAGCCAAAGTTCCTGTGACAATAAAATGGATCAAGAATCAACTGTTACAGAGGAAATGCGGAACTTCTTGAGTGCTTGTTTGACTAGTCAAAATGTTACAAAATGGTCACACAAGCAAGTGGAATGATGCAATGTTAAAATCAGGTCCAAAAATATAGTGGGAGTCTTGGCAGGAATGAAAACTATTAGACAGAATTCTTGTCACACACACACACACACACACACACACACACACACA